AATTTTCAACATCACCAAATTTCTAATCTACTAATTATCAAACAACATACTGAAACAACTTCAGAACTACACAATAAATACAATAAAGTTTCTTGTCTTATCAGCGATTTTCATTCAATTTCAAAGTTCAATCCTCTGCAACATTTTATGATTATCTAGAAAAATTAAAGACAAAAAGTAACAAAATTAAAATATACTTCCATGAGCATTAGTAGCAACTTAATATAAGAAAATAGATGGAAAAAGGTGGGTGAAGATAGAGCTGTGAAACCCCTGAACGTAGAATGAAGCTGTGCTGTTAAACATCGAGTCATCATTTGGTGTAACATTGGGAATCTCATAAGAAAAAAAAACTCTGAAGTTAGCCATGGTTGTATGAGAGCATTCATAGGATGGGTAATGTTCTGAAAACATTAAGCCAAAGTGTGCATTATCTTCATAGGTGAGAGTTGTGGTCGTTACAAAAAACCTCTATTTTCTGAAAAAGGCAAATTAGGTGCATATATTGGGCCTCCCATGATTCCTTTGGTTTTGCATTAGCTTCAAAAGACCTTTTTCTTCAAGGAAGAGTGAGCGATCGAACCCAACTCATTATTTACCTTCATTTCATTTTGAATCAATGCACGTGTGTTTAACATAACTCTTTTTGTGCTCGAATGTATAGCACATTGGTTGAAAATAATGTTAAAAATTCTATGATATAAGATTCGAGCACTAACTTTACCCGAAAAATGCACATCTCTCTTTAGATTTGAGCATGGATTGTGGCTCTTAGTTGAATAAAGCTTCGCTTGATTAGTGTTGCTGACAAAAGCATGTTTCTCAGTATTTAACTACTCATACATCTTCAGCAAAGCTTTCTTCCTCTTCATTCTTCTAAAAAAACATCCACTTGATGGCTCATATGTTGAGGCAAATGACTTTATCTAAGTAGGGCTAATAGCCACACGTTTCTCAAGGCTTGATCCTACAGAACCCTCCAAAAAACCTATCTTCCTCTTCAACCTTCTCTGTAAAAATCCTCTATTATGTTCCTCTTCATTATGAGCTTTCTTAGCGTTTGCTGTGGTGCTCGGATACGAAGATTGAACTCCTCTGTAACCTTCTGGAAAAACAAAGGAAGGGATTTTCATCCTTGGAACATGGTAGACATAAATCTCCATGCCCGGCCTCCAGAACATATACATGTTTACAAAATGCTTGAATTCATTCACAACAAGCCGTATATCAAAATGCTGACCTTCTTCAACCTTCACTCCCTGTTTTCTTCGCAATCCCATGAAAAATGCACAGTGAGCCCCACACACAGAAGCATCATTATACTCAACAGGATGAGGGTGACACTGCAACATACCACAAGTGTCCTGCTCAATCTGCATAAATATGGTGGTATGTTATGTAAAAATTGAAAATTATATTGTTAGATATGTAAATACATGGGAATTGAGTAGTATGTTGTAAATCTTTCTAAGAATAATCAGCAACCATAGCCTAAAGAAAACGTTAAGAATACTAATGTTAAGAAAGATGGATTAACCAAAGTCATTAAACATAAAATACTAACAAAGAGCTCCAAATCATGAGTTAATTAAAAATTAAATAAAATTACCTTAAGAGTGAGCTGCCTCAAACGAGATGCGACCCATCCCTTCCAAATACGCAGATCATCTGTATTTAAGGCGAACATGTCCACCTGAAGAAAATTCTTATATGCCTCAAAGAACTTGTAAGGTTCAAATAATGCACCCCATATGGCATTGTTCAGCTCAATCTCCTGCAAAATAAATAATTAATTAATTACATAAATAATCCCAGCTCACGATCTAACGAATCAAGTCTGGGCAGACTTAGACTTAAACTTCACCTATTACGTCATCGAGCTCAGCTCGTGATCCGATCATCGAGCTGAGCCCGATCGAGCCTGCTCATGAGCCGACTTGACTCTGTAACATGTCTGCCCACAAACCAAATATAATTACCTCACAAATCTTGTTTCCAAACTGGAACTGTTCGCTCAAAATTCTTAGGGTGCTGGTGGATACATTGTAGCTTGAATTCATGCTGGGATATGCAGGAGTGATGATAGGCATATGATGAGTTCTATCCTTGGGGTTTTTACGTGGATCCCAAACAGGAAAGCCAAGTTCATCATCTTGAATTCTACATAGCATCACAGGATTCGGCCATTTCCATTGTGTATATACCCTAAAAAAACGGCATACTAACATGCTAGGTGAAGCATTTGGGTATAGTTGACACACACGAGCCACCAGTAAAGCCCAATTAATGCCACCAAGAAATCCAGTTACCTTGCAAGATAAAGGTTAGTAATGGTTTAGGGTTTTGTAGATGAAGAGGACATATGGCACAAATACTATATATTTGCATGGCTAACACCAAAATGTTACATTTTTATAGTTATACTATTGAAATCTTTCATATCATGTCAAAGATACAATCATTTTAACTTTAAAAGTGAAATACTCCATTTCATGCATTGGTAAGGAAGGTATGATGTGTATAAACATTTAATTTTAGGTATTAGATATGTAAATACATTGGAATTAAGTGATATGTATGTAA